GAGATATGTGGAGTATCTCTGCGATGTCCCGTGTCGTGTAACCTGGAATATTTTTAACTCGGTCGATTTAATTTCGATTTGATCATCTTCAGTGACTGTAAGCCTGCCAGAACATTCTCGTTGTTCCAGATAAAAATGTCCACTTCTGAACCTAGCGAACCACTTACAAACGGTACACTGAGCTACGGCACCATCTCCATAAACCGCACATATCTTTTTTACTGTTTATACAGCATTTTTTCATTCCAGAAATGAAAAAGCTTCAAATGACAAAACTGCATCTTCTTTTCCTCCATTTTCCCTTTTAACGTAAAAAGAAATATTTAAAATTCACAATCCACACACGAATCATATAGAAATAGGCGTTGAAATGTGACATTTCAGAATAATGCGTATATGTCATAAATTTTACTTATGTGTGAAAATAAAGCGCATATTCAAACTCCAAACGCCACGAATGTTTGTTCCAATTCAATAGCGTTTTTTTTTATCGATTACAGATTGAAAGGATTACTATTTACATTATTCGGAGTAATTGTCCTCATTTTTGTCGCCATATTTATTACAACGTGTCGGCTGTTGTACGCCACGGCCTTCTTCAGGTGGTTGGAATGTCGAACTTAACCCTTTATTTCCTCAAGGACGCATGGCACAGTAGATAAAGGCATTAATTAGATCCAGTGACAGGACCCAAACAGTGTGAGTTCAATACCCAGTTAAGGCAGTGGAGAACTTGGAGAGGGGAATTAACAGGAGATAACTGATAACTGACCTCCATTAAACATGGCACGTGGAACTAGAACAGTCTACGCCAGTGAGCGAAATAAAGGGTTCAGTTCGACATTCCAACCACCTGAAGAAGGCCGTGGCGTACAACGGCCGAAACGTTGTAATAAATATGGCAAAGATGAGTACAATAGTCTGAATAATTTAAATAGTGTACATAATACCTCACTCAGAAATATAGACAGATACTGATTGAAAGGATGTTTGTCATAAATCAATTTACTTTCCCCTGTTTTGGTATTTGACATTTGCGAAGAGACTGACGGACACATAACTTTTAAAATCAAAGCACACAGAACTTTAAATAAAAATTATAATTATATACACAGAAAAGCTAGGATATCATAGTGGGTTATCAATTATAGTGAAGTGTATGCGTGTTGAAACAGATTAGTTGGATTTGGCCTTGTTAGTAAGATAGCCCACCATAAGAGGGGTATAAAACAAGAAAATCAAATTGTAAAGTGAAACAACAAGTTTATATACATATAAATCAATTAAGGTCTCTACAAATAAAATTAATGTATTTTGGGTGATACAAGGTCGTCAAAATGTTCGTAGTAGTCCTTGCAAGAATGAGTTTATGTGTACGTAGGCAGGAACGTATATGTGGATGTATGTATGTATGAGCGTTATCGTAGGGTAGGAATGTCTTTGAAGTAATCTCTCAGTCTTAAAATGTTCCGTTCGTTTATCAAGTATAAAAGAGGTGAGGGGTAAAGGTAGAGGTAATAATAACGATCTCTTGATGTTTGTCAAGGGACATGTTAATACGCTCGTCTCCGTCTCTCTGGTGACAGGAGAGCTTGCCCGTCTTTTATTTTGTTTGTGGGGCTTGAAAAGGTCATCCAGGGAATTAAAAGTGGGGATGTGATTCAGGCCTTTCCATTGGACGATGAACTTTGCGTCTTTAATAAAAGGTCTGTAAAGAATGTTGTTTCTGGGAATTGAAGATTATTTGAATTTTGTTTTAAATGTTTCCTAGTTTTCTATTGGCCGAAAAAACATTTCGCATCAAGGTGTGAAATTTTACGATTTTTCTTTTGGATTCGCTTTTGTGTGTGTGTGTGTTAAACAAAGTTTGTAAATTCGAGTCTTTTTAATTTCTAACAAAACCAATGAGTCAGTGCTTAGCATTTAATTTTAAATCTAGACCTTGTTTTGTTCACTACAATAGCAATTGTCGTAACTTAGTAAAGGGGGTCTGTACTAGCAACGACAACGCAGATTCGACTTGGTGTCTTCTGTGCGATGCTCCAGCTCTTTTATTCACACATAAACAATATGGCCGAAACAGTACTTCCGTGTCTGAACAATAGATGAAATAAGGCTTCTGTTTTCTTACTTCCTGTTTACAACAGAAATATTTCACGTTTTAAAATTTATACCTTTATTTTTCTTTGAAACCATCTGAACTTATTGTAAAAATTATATTTTTTTTATTATTGTAATAAATTTTCTATTATTATTACATAGATAAAACTCTTCGTAATGTGTGAGTAAAATTTTTTGAAGAATTGATACAAAAACGAATACATTTGGGTACAGCAATTACAAATGACTAGAATATGTATAACGACTTCGATAAAATTGGATAGAATCATGAAGTTATTATTTATACAGAAAATTTTGCTTTTGAGAACTCTTGACTCCATCTAAAAAAACTTTTTTTCTTTCCTTTTTTAATGCATATCCAAAACTCCACATCAATGGCAGTATATCTGTAAATATTTATTCAGATAGGATTTCCAAAGTGTATTTATTGCCATAATTAAAATAATCAATGAAAGGTACAAGTTTTAAAATAAAAATAATGAAATATACCCTCAGCAAATTTAATAGTTTATTTTGTATAATGCGGCATTTTTACAATTTTATCATCATTATTTTTTTAATTTTTTTTTTTACCAACATTTGTTTTATAATCACTTGCCAGGTCATAACCAATGACCCTGGCCAAGTGATGGACGGTTTTTTGTTCCCATTTAATTAAACAAAACACAACTATTAAAAAAAAAAATTAAATTAACAAAGCTCTTCATAGGATATAGGTTGTGCTTGTTAGAACTATTTTGAGGATTTCCTGAAGAGATGATGCACCATAAATTTTTTGATAAGTTTCTTTCTTTATTAGACCCAAAGCTCCAACCACAACAGGAACAGTTTTAGTTTTTAAGTGTCGCATTATTTGTATTTGCATCGCCAATCTCTTTGTATTCGTTTCGTATTTTTTTAAAAGAAATCTTTGCTGCGATGTTTCTGCCATTTGGTACACTAGTGTCAATAAAATGTGCAATTTTTTTTCTTATCTGTCTTTGATTTGTTGTTGAGTTCCTTTCTTTATCAGGCCCAAAGCTCCAATCGCAGTAGTAACCGATTTAGATTTTAAAATTGCCTCATTTTTCTATTTCCTTCTCCATTTCTATGTATGTAAAATTTATGGGTAATACTTTCTTTTATTTTGCATAACATTATTTTTGTTATATTTGGCAGGATTTTCATTTCTGTGTGCATTTATGCGCAGAAACTTTTTTGCCGACATAAAAGTTGATTTCATTTAACTGGTTTATTTTTTAAAAATCATTAGTTTTTAAGTTTATATGGAGAAATATCGCGGTGTAAAGGCTTGTCTTGCTAGAACAATTACAACTGAAAAGTGAGTTCAATTCTCACTAGGTGCTCCACACTTTCGACCCTACGCTTAGAAAAACCTTTTGGGGCACTTCGAGGCGGTGTAATGGTTAGCAAGCTTGTCTCGCTAGAACAATTACGATTGAGTAGTGAGTTAGATCCTCACTGGGTACCCCACACATTTGTCCTTGTGCCTCATCTAAGCTACGCTTGGAAAATCACTATAGGGAGAAATATTGCTGTTTATTTGTTCGGGAAATTGTAAAATAAGCTTTTGTTAAAGTAAATGGCTACGAGGGGACCATCAATCAAGAAGGGGGGCCATGAATAGAAAAAAGTTGGGAACCAATGACTTAGAGGAAGCGAAGGGTGCCATTTTTTGTTGTTTCCACTTATTTTCGGCTATTAACAAAAAAACTTAAATGGACAAAGCTCTTCGCAAGATATGAGCTGTTCTTTTTAGAACTATTTTTTTTATTGGTGGAATAGTGCATCAGGAATGAGGATGATTATGATGATGATAATTTTTAAAATGATTTAATCCCAAATAAGGTGATAAAGCCACTAAGACGCTAGGGGTTTACCGAGTGTGAAAGAATTTGAGAGAAAAATATTTTTAAGGAGAAAAGCCAAGAAAAGAACAGGAATTAAGGAGACAAAAGATGATTATTGACATTGAACGCTTATAAGGATAACGTTGCGAATGGAGATTTCTATTAATTGGGTATTCGTAAAAAGAACCACTTTGTTAAACAAAGAGCTTCTTAGTTAACCAAAAAAAAAATCCTATTCGCAGTTACATGTAACCCATGCGTTTATAGAACTTCCTATTGCATTACCCATGCTTTTAAAGTACTCAAGATCATACATTTCAGTAATTCTTTTTACACACAATTCTTGAATAGGTTCTTAAAATGACATTCCCCAACACCGTCTGTGTTTAAATGTTTGAAGATCAAAGTTGACAAGCAAGCAATAATCCAGAAGAGAGTTCAACAAGCGAGAGTTTCGAGAGAAGAAACTGTTAGCATATTATCATTGTAATTTTTTTAACTTGTCATTTCTCGTTGTTTTCATTTAAATTTCGATCTTACCATTTCCTGTTCTACATTTCCTTATTCAAATGATACCAATGGCCATTTCAATTTTCTCTTTCTAGACATCAAATGATGAACTTTACAAAAGCATTGGAGAGAAGATAGAGTCTGGCCCGCATTATAAATACTACGAACCTATTATTAATTTGGTTGATTCACACGATTATGCTTTCGTCGTTGATGAGTCTGTTACCATTTATCTGGCGAATAAACGCTGTGGTTTCTACCTCGTCATTTCTGAACCGGCCTGCAAACAGAGTTTGGGCTTTGTCTTGCCGAAAGGATCTCCCTACAAAGACATGATATCAAACAGGTAAGTATAGACTTAGATAGATAGGAATGAAGATAGATAGATAGATAGACAGATAGATAATGAATAGACTTAGTTAAATAGATAGATAATTAATTTAGATAGAAGATAGATAGATAGACTTAGATAGAAAAATAGACAGATAGATAATGAATAGACTCAGATAATGAATAGACTTAGATAGATAGATAGATAGATAGATAATGAATAGACTTACATAGATAGATAAATAGATAATGAATAGACTTAGATCGATAGATAGATAGATAAATAATGAATAGACTTAGATAGATAGATAGATAGATAGATAGATAATGAATAGACTTACATAGATAGATAAATAGATAATGAATAGACTTAGATCGATAGATAGACTTAAATAGATAGATAAATAGATAATGAAGATAGATAGATAGATAGATAGAATAGATAATGAATAGATAGATAGATAGATAATGAATAGACTTAGTTAAATAGATAGATAATAGACTTAGATAGATAGATAGACTTAGATCAATTTAAATAGATAGAGATAGATAAATAATGAATAGACTTAGATAGATAATGAATAGATAGATAGATAAATAATAATGAATAGACTTAGACATAGATAGATAAATAGAATAACCTAGAATAGACTTAGTTAAATAGATAGATAATGAATAGATAGAAATAATGAATAGAGATAGATAGATAGATAGATAGATAATGAATAGACTTAGATAGATAATAGATAGATAGATAGATAAATAGATAATGAATAGACTTAGATCGATAGATAGATAGATAGATAGATAGATAGATAGATAATGAATAGACCTAGATAGATAGATAATGAATAGACTTAGATAGATAGATAGATAGATAGATAGATAAATAGATAGATAGATAGATAGATAATGAATAGACTTAGTTAAATAGATAGATAATGAATAGACTTAGATAGATAGATAAATAGATAATGAATAGACTTAGATAGATAGATAGATAGATAGATAATGAATAGACCTAGATAGATAGATAATGAATAGACTTAGTTAAATAGATAGATAATGAATAGACTTAGATAGATAGATAGATAGATAAATAATGAATAGACTTAGATAGATAGATAGATAGATAGATAATGAATAGACTTAGATAGATAGATAGATAGATAAATAGATAATGAATAGATCGATAGACATAGATAGATAAATAGATAATGAATAGACTAGATAGATAGATAGATAGATAGCAATTTAAATAGATAGATAAATAATGAATAGACTTAGTTAATAGATAGATAGAATAGACTTAGATAGATAATGAATAGACTTAGATAGATAGATAGATAGATAGATAGATAATGAATAGACTTAGTTAAATAGATAGATAATGAATAGACTTAGATAGATAGATAGATAGATAGAAAGCAATTTAAATAGATAGATAGATAGATAGATAATGAATAGACTTAATAGATAGATAGATAATGAATAGACTTAGTTAAATAGATAGATAGATAGATAGAATAATGAATAGACTTAATAGATAGATAGATAATGAATTTAAATTTAACTTAGATAGTTAAATATAGACTTAATAGATAGATAGATAATGAATAGACTTAGTTAAATAGATAGATAGATAGATAATGAATAGACTTACATAGATAGATAGATAGATAATGAATAGACTTAGATAATGAATATACTTAGATAGATAGATAATGAATAGACTGATGTAGATATCAGGTCATCCCATAAGTTCTGTCCGAATTTTGAATAAAGAAAACAAATGACCAAATGTTACATTTAATTACAGATTCAATCAGCAATGTATTTTCCCTGATTATCTATGACTTCCTTCCATCTATTAACAAGCTTACTAATTCCATTACTGTAAAATTCTTTTGCCTTTGATTCGAAGAACTCACAAATGTCAATTTTAACTTCTTCCTGTGTTACAAAAGCTGTTTCTTCCAAATGATTCTCTAAGCTACGAAACAAATGGTAGTCTGAAGGAGCAAGATCGGGAGAATAAGGTGGATGAGGAATTTTCTCCCAACCAAGTTCTTCGATCTTTTCTGACGTGATTCTTGCTGTGTGGGGTCGCGCATTGTCCTGATGAAACATCGCCTCTTTTCAATTCACTAGAGCAGGTCTTTTTTTCCTCAAAGCTTGGTTCAAATGCTCTAATTGCTGACAGTATATTTGAGCATTAATTGTTGCATTAGGTGGTAAGAATTCAAAGTGGATTATTCCTTGGCGATCCAACCAGATTGAAAGAACCTTTTGCCCATGAAGTTCCCTTCTCGGCTGTGACTGGGGTCCTTTCCCTTTACCAAGCCACTGTCTACGATGCTTAACATTTCGATAAAAGATCCATTTTTCGTCGCCAGTCACAAGTCTATCCAAAAAAGGTGAAACAAGTTGGCGAGAATTGTTTCTAGTGATATATGTATGTGTGTTTGTGTGTGTCTGTGTGTGTTAAATAGTTCAAAATCAGTAAATTTTCAAGGGAAGTAAATCTGTCAGGTATTATCTCCCTTGATCATCTCGCTACTTTTTCATTGTTTTCATCTGCAGTTTTAAGATATTCGGATTTTTTTTTTTAAATGATTAGTTTTTTTCGATTTTAATCGGAAGACAATTTTTTATATTGTCGATTCAATTTCGATCAGTTTTGATCGACGGAATTTCAACATTAGAAACCAAATTTTTCGATAACGGATCGAAAATAACTTGTTTGCTCATTCTTCAGATTTTTTAATGTTCTCTTGTGACTCCATCATAAAGATTTTTTAACCTGTGATAAGAAAAATTCGAAAAATGGTTAGGGGAAGTCTCTGGCTGATAATAGATTTGGTTTTCTCCAATCCACAATGCCCATTATAGGCATTAGTATATCAGTAGATATATTAAGACTCCAATCTGACAGAAAGTAGGACTAGAAAAACATAGAAATGAATTCCAAAAATGAGTTATTCATGAAAACATTTTATATATCACATTCAAGTACACAAGTATATACACTAAGATACAACGCACCCCATATATATATATATATATATATATATATATATATATATATATATATGAAAATATATAGTCTTAAGATGTGCTATATTTATGGGATAAAGTGCTCAATATCAGAGATAGAGTGTAAATATAAAAGTGAATATATGCAATCTTAGAGGCGTTACATGTCTGTTTCATATATAATATGAAACAGACTGTCGCCTCTAAATGTTGACTTTATGTTCACTTTTTATATATATATATATATATATATATATATATATATATATATATATATATATATATATATATATATATCCATGAATTACTTAGAAATTACATATTCATATATAGGAAAACGATATATAAATGTTTATATATCAAGAGCAAATTTATAGAAATCTATGACAACGTGGAAACGTTTTCGTGTGACGCTATAACACGGAGGTATCTTGTCTCTTCTCGGTAACAAATATAAGTCGGGGATATCTCGTCGCTTCTCGGCACCAAATATTGTGACAGGGGGCAATATCACCCGGAAACAATAATAATAATGAAAAGAAAAGGTGATCCTGTGAAATAGAAAACACCAAGTGAAGCGAGGCGTTTTCGAATAACCAAGATGTTGGTATGCCGTAAAATAAATATTAATGTTACAGATTTTATTTAAAAACGAAATACAATCTTTTTAAGCGTACAAAAGGTATCACTTTATTAATAGAAGATACAAGTAAGAATGTCTTAATCTAAAGATAAATTTTGTCGATAACAAGAAAGCATGAATCTATGTAAAGTTTACCAAAATTGCTCAGAGCTATTTATAGATAAACTTAGAACAATAGCCATACGGTCAGAGCACTGAAAGATATAGTGAGTGTGAAATTTTAATTTAGAAGTGTGTCGGGAAATGGGTCGATCTCGTTCCTAATAAAACTAAGTCAGTACGATGTCTCTAGAAAAAACAAATACGTCACCAGTTCTCTATATAAAGAGGAGAGCAGAGTTAGGGCAGAGCAGAGTTTGGGTAGAGAGTAGAGCAGAATTGGGTTGAGAAAAGAGCAGAATTGGATGAGAGACAGTAAAGAAATGACGTCAGAGATTGGAACAAAGCGCCCGCTAGCATGTGCTGTTGATATAAGTACCGCTGCTCCTGCTACCACTAATATTACTACTACTATTACTAATATTGAGGACGTGGCAAAAAGAGAGCTTCCGGAATTCTACGACCCGATAACTACCCGCCAGGAAAAAATCACAACATTTGAAACCGGATACTTAGGTATAACCTGTAATACTGAACCATACAGGACCAACGGCCGGTCATGTGGATAACGTTAGTCCAGAGGGGTTAGAATACGGTTTCACATGGACGCCTTGAGCAGAGACCGCATTACAACTGACAACGTTCGAGAGGATCGGCGTTACAGTATAACGTGGGGGCATCTCGTATCTTCTCGGCACCAAATCCAACGCTGGGACATCTCGTCTCTTCTCGGCACCAAATAAATGCGTAGGCATCTCGGTTCTTCTCGGCACCGAATATATGCGGGGGCATCAGGTCTCTTCTCGGCACCAAAAAAATGCGGGGTATCTCGTCTTTTCTCGGTATCAAATAAATGCGGTGGCATCTCGTCTCTTCTCGGTACCAAATAAATGCGGGGGCATCTCGTCTCTTCTCATTACCAAATAAATGCTGGAACATCTTGTCTCTCCTGGGCATCAAATTAATGCGGGGACATCTCGTCTCTTCTCTTCTCGTCACCAAATAAATGCGGTGGCATCTCGGTTCTTAATGGGGCATCAGGTCTCTTCTCGGCACCAAAAAAATGCGGGTATCTCGTCTTTTCTCGGTATCAAATAAATGCGGTGGCATCTCGTCTCTTCTCGGTACCAAATAAATGCGGGGGGCATCTCGTCTCTTCTCATTACCAAATAAATGCTGGAACATCTTGTCTCTCCTGGGCATCAAATTAATGCGGGGACATCTCGTCTCTTCTCTTCTCGTCACCAAATAAATGCGGTGGCATCTCGTCTCTTCTCATCACCAAATAAATGCGGGGGAATCCCATCTCTTCTCGGTATCAAATACAACGTGGGAGCAGCTGGTCTCTTCTCGGCACCAAATAAATGCGAGAGCATCTCCTCTCGTCTAGGCACCAAATGCAACGCGGGTGCATCTTCTCGTCACCAAATAAATGCGACAGCATATCGTCTCTTCTCGGCACCAAATACAACTCGGAGGCATCTCGTCTCTTCTCGGCACCAAATAAATACGACAGCATATCGTCTCTTCTCGGCACCAAATACAACTCGGCGGCATCTTGTCTCTTCTAGGCACCAAATAAAATACCGCAGCAGCACCTAGTTATAATTTGTAGTAGTGTCATGTCATCATATGTTTAACGTAAACTTTAGCTGGCTATTACGATTGCCAGTATTTTCATTTCGGAGTAAGATGCATGAATTGGGCGAGGCTATTTCAGCCGTCCGTCTCCCTCAGCTGATTTGAGTCACATAATGGAAATTTTCCTTTACGTTGTGTACCTGTGCGACGTGTCTTCTTATTCTTTCCAACAATCCGTGTGTAATGGTCGGTTGTTCAGGCGATATTTTAATCCTGGCACTTTTTTTTTAATTCGGCCGACCTTCCTGAAAGGTGGGAGACTCTGTTAGAAAAAAAAAAAATTATCACTAATCTATTAATGATGAAACTATATAAAAGCTACATCCATTACACCCATGCGGTTCTATTTCGGTAAATACTTTTTTTTTCCTTGAGGCATTGAGGGATATCCAATGGTTGATATTCGGGTCCTTGTGCTAGAATTTCGGCGCAAACGAACAGCGGTATTGTGCTTTGACTGTCAAGCGTAAACTGAATAAAATGGAGCGCGTGAACGCATATAAGGATTACCTTGCGAATGGAGTTTTTAATTAATTGGGTATCCGCACGAAGAACCTCTTTGTTAAACAAAAAAGAGAGCTTCTTTTTTAAACAAAAAATTCCTATTCACATCGCATATAACCCATGCTTCTAAAGAACTTCCTAATCGCTTTGTATATAACTCATGCTCCTAAACTACTCAATAGCATATATTTCAATAATTCTTTCCACACATATTTCTTGGATAGGTTCTTAAAATAACATTCCATAACTCCGTCTGTGTTTTGCAGAATTTTGGTAAAAACATTAATCATGTGACCACGACTTTCTCGAAGCTGTGGATCTGGGCGTGAAATTTCAATCATACTGGATTTTACTGAAACATACTTCAAATCATTCTGTACCTACCACTCACGTGCATTTGAAAGGTTCAAATCACAATTTTTAAACTTAACTTTTTCATCAGGTTGCACCCAATTAACCATTCTCCCATAATTTTCTCCATCTAATATATCTAATCCTTCGCTCGAGATTAATAATATCTCAAGTCACTAAACAATATTTCAATGCACTAATATAACTCAATCAGGGCCTCTGTCCTTTTACTATGTCTTTCGTGTTTTAGGACCTCATCGAATTTATGTGATGCTTAGGTTGATGTGACGAAATATGAACATGAAGTAAAGGGGGCGCTGACAATATTAAGTCTATTATATATATATATATATATATATATATATATATATATATATAGATAGATAGATAGATAATATTAGTGGAAAATATACATACATATGCAAAATATATAAATATAATAATAATAATGTATAAATTTGTAGGTCTGATGAATTGGATCGTATTTACGATTTCAATGGAATAAATTATGACCATGGAATATTAGTGTTTAAGCCTTTTTATCATATATATATATATATATATATATATATATATATATATATATGATTTGTGCCTATAATCTAGCCGATTTCATTTAGTTTCATTATGTTTATGTATTTATCACTTTTGTCATTTAATATCCTACATTGTGATAAAGAATGGTGAATTGTAAGAACCTGGATGTAAATGTATTACAGATGATCTAGCAATTAAAGCTACACATGAACATGGAGTAAAGGGGATGCTGATAATATTAAGTCTGTTATATATATATATATATATATATATATATATATATATATGATTTGTGCCTATAATCTAGCCGATTTCATTTAGTTTCTTTTTGTTTCTGTTTTTATCACTTTTGTCATTAAACATTTCAAATTGTGATAAAAATAAATAAATAAGAAATTTCTTTGTTCAGACAGAGGTAAATATTAGTCGTTAATTTTTCCGTTTATTAACATTTACTTGATTATGTGATGCGTCAATTTATTTGAGTCTATAATCATATACTTCGTTCCATAGCTAAATATCGGTGATGTTCTTATTAATAAAATCTATATATAATATTTTATCTAGAAGCATTTACTTGGCCCGAAGATGAATGAATAATGGCCGTTCATATTTGCTTCTCTAATCCAGTGTTTCTCAACTCTTTTACGCAACAGCACACGTAGGAGAAAATATCGCGGCCCACTTAGCAAGTTTTTAAAAGGTTTACATTTAAATGTGATGAAATAAAACCATAGATTAAAAGAATAGACACACAAATATGAACTTACTTTATTTCATTTTAGTAACAGAATATTTACCCCGAAAGGATGCTAAAGATATCATGGAGCGAGCGTGTGAGCAACGATGAGGTCTTGGAGAGGATGCAAACAAGCAGGAAGCTTAAACTTAACATCAGGAAGAGGCAGCAGAAAGGAGGGCTTGGAGAATCTGATACTCACAGATCGAATAGGAGGAAAGAGAGACAAGGAAAAGCGACATACCTAGCGGACTTAAGCAAGTGGATGACATGGGCGGGGGGTGGTGTTAGTAGCAAAGGGACAAATCTTATTGAGAGCTACAAGAGATAGGGAGGAAGTGGAGAACCATGATCGCCTACGTTCCTGAAAGGATACGGCAGATAAAAAGAAAAGAAAAAAACAATAAAAGTGAACTTTCGGGAGCAGCTGAATGTAAATTTGCTGTTGTTGATCAAGCGATTAAAGTAATTTCTATGTACTTTTGTCTTAGTAAATTGCTTTCTCTTTTAATTAAGGTAGAGTTTTTAAAATCAAAATTATTGTCAAACTCATTACGGTGTGGAAAATGCATTGAATGTGTTGTTTTGTAAATGATCATTTTGTGTTCATATAAGCTTTTATTTAAATTCCTTAAGCTTTTTCCTATGTATTGCTTGTAACAATTAATACCGGTGATAGAATATAAGAATTTGTAAGTGATAGTAAAGGGGGCTAACCCATTACCATTCAAAGATCAACCACGAACTTGAAATACTAACTGATCCGGGACTCTGATTGGCTAACTACTGTCCAATCAGAATCCCTTTTTGCAGTCACGCGGTAAATTCGATCTTGAAATCTTGCTCTTTTGCTAAGTAACAGCCGTAGTGACCACACGTTTATTGGAGCCGTTCTTTCCGACGTTAATAGAGTTCAGAAGCTACGAGACCGCAAATCCCACTTGTTCTTTGGACACTCTACTAGTAGTTATGTCCGCAAATATAAATTATATCCACAAGCCTTTTATGCATGCACCACTTTCTACATTATAGCTTTGAATTGAATATTGTTATTGGGTTGCTTCTCTTCTTCAAATGTGTCCGTCTTTGTCTTTGTGGAATTTAACTGCACTAGAGGAAAAAATTTTAAAGAGTAAATTCCTCCTTCAGGGTTTAGCTTATTATTTTCTTTTATATTAATTACGTCTTATATCCGAAGTAGTAACAAATTTTATGTTAAGCTTAGATAAATTACAATCTTATTTGTGATAAATTCGGTTAGGTAGAACAAAATATATTTTGATTGGTTCAATCTGTCAGAATGTTCCACTCTTTTAGTTTGAAATATTTTATGAGCTTTCTGTTTCACGGTGAATATGTATTGGAGAGGCTTAAAATATTTTCAATATAGTCATATATCAGTCAGTTATATGTGCCATGCGTGATGCACGCTTAGGCAATCATGTATCTTTCGATACATGACTGACGAGACAATTTTTTCCCGCAGTAGATTGCCATTTCTTTCTGCGGTAGACCAGTTTCCATCCAAGATTATAGAACCTGGTCTGTCCTGCTATTTACCCATTATTGATCTTTGAATGGTAATGGGTTAGCTTAGAAGAAGAGGGTTCATACCTTTCCCAAGGTTATTAGCACGTAAGCAAATGTAATGGATCTGACTGGAATTCGAACTCGGCTCTCCGATTCCTGAATGCTAGCCGCTATCCATGACTCCAACATGCTTATTCATATATAAAAAGGTGAAAATAAATAAATAAAATAAAATTCTCTCTAAAAAAGAAAAATTTTAAATGTTCTATTTATTGATATTTTTTCCCATTTTTCTTTAGTTCGGTTGAATAGATTTCTTTTCTTTTCTATGTGGCAGCATAGTGTCGATGCAAGAAGCCGGTTTAATCGAAAAACTCAAGAAGCGTTGGTGGAACAACAGCTCAGAGTGTACGGCACCTTCCGAAGTGAAACATATGGAAGCAAACGGTTTAAAAATGGACGCAATTGGTGGCGCGTTCATAATTTACACCTGCATCGCCATTTTAGGAATTATATGCGTCATCATCGAAATGATCGTTGCCCGAATAAATGGAAGACAAAAACGAGATCCTCAACCGACGTCGGCAGCGGATACTTAATTACCAGAGTTAAAAATGCACAAATGCCAATGAATATT